GGCAAAGTCAACTCCGGAATGTCCCAAACATTCAACTCATTTGGATTCTCCTCGTACCACCTAGAATATACTTGCTCACCCACCATGATCCGTTGATCAATAGGGTATTTTGCAGACCTCCTTTCCGATTGGTACTACAGGAAATGCCTTAGACCTCCGACGTCAAATCCGCTTTTTTGCGGAACCCCTATCTTCGGACTAGCCATGTTTTCCTTCCACTGGTTGATTTCCAGTCCGCCTCCATGTTGGATGGCACCTCCTCCGGTCAAAGTCCGGACCCCTATCTACCATTCCTATCCGCAACCTGATTAGCATTCACCTTGTATTGGTCTCCACTACCCTCCTTGTAGAGGAACTCCGTCTTTCATGATGATTTTCCTGCCAAGTGTTCGGGTTTTGATTCCTCTGACAAAGGCCCGCTCAGGTTCCTGCCTCCGAATCCGGATGGCACTCTTTCCTCCGCTCTAGCCCCTATTTTCCCTTCCACCGCCCGGAAATTCTTTGTTGATTCTCCTCCGACATTGGGAATGTCTCCTGAAAGGGAAAATAGGAATTTTGCTTCCGTTACATCCTATGCAAATTCCTGACCATTTCCTGGCTTCATTATCCACCTCCGGACCTTCGAACCAAAACTCCGGAGCTCCTCCGATTCATTCTCCGGAAGTAGGTCCTGGAAAACCATCTGTTCCTCTCCAGAAGCCTGTCAGTTCTTACATCCGACATCCCGTCCGAATCAACAACTTTCCGAACGTCTCCGCGTTTTACCCCTATTTTCCGGAAGTTTGTAACTCCGGATCTCTATTGGCTTTCTTGATGAAGGTCTCTGCCCCTCCGATCTATAACTCCGGTTTGCTCCTTGTCATCTCTGAACTTTTCCGGATCAGAATAAACATGCTTTGCGATTGTTCTTTACTGTTACTGATACCACGTCCACTCCAATAGCTTCGGATAAGCTCCGGATAGCTTCGGATATCTTCGGACATCCGGACTTTTCAGTATCAAAGTATTCCTTCGTGTTATGGCTCCGGATAGCTTTGGATAGCTTTGGATAAGCTCTGGATATCTTTGGATATCTTCGGACGTCCGGACTTTTCAGTACCAAAGCATTCCTTCGCGTTATAGCTCATCCGTACATTCCATTGTCAAATCTCCATGTTTCCAAAAGATCTGTTCACTCCTCCGCTCCAGGACAAGTTACACCTGCTCCGGATCCGAAACACTCCTATGGGTATTCCATGCCATAGCCCGGACATGTTTTATACAATTGTCCATCCTCCGTCCTCACTTTTCCACTCTGCAATCCTTCCATCTGTCCTCCCGTCCTTTTTTCTCCGGATACCAATGTCCGACCTTTACCCCTATTTCCGGAGCTCAATACTCCGGATTTCCGGTGGCTTTCTTCATGGAAGCTCCTACTCCTACCTCCAATGCACCCCTTGTCTCTGGACCGCCTCCATTTGGAATGGATATACTTTGCAATAGCTTGGAGTTGCTTCGGACCCGCTTCCGCTCCTGTCTTAAAATCCCTCACCATTCAATAGTGTCTTCTCTGGAATCTGTTTCGGATCCGGAAAAGCACTGGTGATACCTCCGAAGTTTTTAGCACTACAGTCCTGCGTTGCATTGTATCTTCCGTTCCATTCTGTTCACTCTTGTGACTCACGTCCAGTTTCCTCCGAAAATCCGAAGCTCCTGCCGGAACCCTGTGCCCATTTTTCCTCCATTGATGTTTGGAAACATCTTCCAAAAGGGGGGATAGGGACTCCGCTTGAGTATTCACTTCACCCTCTTCAGCTTGTGTTCCACCCGGAATTTACTTGCTCCGTCCCATAAAGGAACAATTTCCACTGTCTTGCACAATCATCCATGCATGTGCAGCTTTCCTATCCGACCCATAACCTATCCGGACCATTCAGTCGTATTTCCGGCCGGATCAGCTCCGGAAAACCGCGGGAAAAGCGCACATTACATTGCATATCATTGGAATACATCCGGAACTATTCATCCATGATCTTTCTAGGCCATTGATAGTCATCCGATGCATTTGACTTCACTGCCTAGTGTACCATCGTGTTTGACTGCACTTCCACCTCACTTCCTCTATGTTCCGATCCACCTCCTATGGGTTTCCACGCCATAGCCCCTATCATCCGGAACTCCGGAATTCCGAACCACTTGCAAACACCTCTGTCATATCACATACATCTCCTCCGATGATCTGTTCTCTTCCTCCGCTTTTCCGACTCAATATCCGTTCTGACTCCCATCGGATATTTCACCATAGACCCTGGCATTGCCAAACACTTACGTCCGGACCTCCTATCATGTTTTCCGACCACATCCGACCCTAATCTGACAAACCCACTTCCAAGTCCACTGTGTCACCTCCACCGATAAAACCGACTATATATCCCTAGTTAACGCAGTCGCCTGTTGCAGGACTTGCGAGCTAGAAGGAGCCGGCCCATTTCAGTATCCACCTCCACCTGACCAGTGTTGACCTCCGGACCATTGATTTCCGGTCTGTTGCATCCCTTCCGAAACCTCCTGGAAAGCATTTCCGGAGTTCCATCGGAAAATCGCGTCTTTGCAGATGTTGTCAATTCACGCAATCTCCGGCCCATCAAACAGCTTGCTCCGTCCTTTATGAGCCTATACACTAGCTATCCTTTTGCTCTAGCAGCTGTACCAATGGATATCGAATATTCCGGAAAGACATCCTCTCTGCACTCCCATCCTTCCTCTGCATTTCCGACCCTCCGCGTTTTTGACCCTTTGTGTTTCTGATCTCCGTGTTTCCGACCCATTCCTCTGCTATCATCATCCTTCCGTCCGACTCCTGTTGGTTCCCACGCCATAGCCCTACTCCGAACCATTCGGATCCATCCGCCCCATCATCAGGATTTCCATCCACCATGCGTGTTTATCAAAAAGCCTCACACCGTGTGCAAAATCCTGCTATTTGCATTAACTTTCAGTGCACCTGGAAACTCCGCCCATGACCTCTCGCAGTGTGCAACCAAAGCTCCGGAACATTTCCGGTCTTAGGGGCTAATTTCCGGAAGCTCACAGTCATATCCAGCAGATTCCTCTGACGCACTTCCGGCTCGAGTGATAGCACACATCGCAGATCGAAATCCATTCAACCTCAGACCTCCGTACAAAGGAAATCATGCCTCATAGCACTCCTTTCTCACTTCCTGCACTCCGGAAGTTCATCAGTCATCATGCGATTACATCTCCGATCATTTTCCGGTCATAGGGGCTAATTTCCGGATTTCCGATGATGCACTTATCCTTAGCTGTACCTCAGTACAAGCTCTGCTTCATGGAGAAAGATATGTCTCACAGGACTCCTCCGTCACATCAGAAAGAGGCCTGCATCGCATCCACTCTTGCCCTCTTGTCCTGCACTCGCTGCATTTCCACTGTCCTGATACAACCTCCTCCGCTCTGAAAGCTTCCTCCGATTTTCCCACGCATTTTCCGGACTTCCAGTCACCTTCGGAATTATCCTCAAAGTGTTCCAGACTTCCACTCCGGAAACCTATTTGTCCTCACATCACATCACCATTCTTCACCACCGTCTATGACGTCCAGTTTCCAGATGAAGTACTAGGCATCATAATGAACCATGTGTGTGTCAGGAACATTTCCGAAACCTCCGGAGATTTTCAGCTCATAGGAACCAATCCTCCGGAATCCATCCATCATTGTCCTCTGCCATATACCAGCAATCTCCGTTCGGGACTTCCTGAGTCTTCAGCCTCGAGGGCTCGGCCTTAAAGGGGGGATACTGTCATATCCCGCATTCCGGACCAACATCTGACGACGTTCCCACGCCTCATCCGGACCTCCGGACCTCCTGTCCATGTCTCCAGACCCAATCCTCTATCCGTCCGGATCCCTGTACTCCTGCATCTGATATCCGGATGCCAGATCTGATATCCACATCTCCGGATCTCCGGATCCGACCTATCTGTCATGTCCGAACCCAAACCTTAAATCAGCGCCCATCCCCTTATGGTAATCACCTGTCTCCGGACTTCCGAACATCCGGATCCGACCCACGTCTATCTTCCTTGCGTTCCGGACCCAGACCTATCACGCATTCATCTCCGGACATCCGGATCCGACCCGCGTCTATCTTCCGTGCCTTATCCCTTTGTATGTTCCTTCTTGAGTTAGACTTCCTCATTTTCCGTACCTCATTTCATCTCCGAGTTCATTTCCTATGATCCGTCTTATTTTCTAATACATTTCCACATGCTCGTACATAGCCTTACCCCTCTGCTTACTGATCTGCACAGACTTGCCTCTAGTATATAAACCCCAGTAGATACTCCTGTATTTCCTCAGTCTGAATATCATACACATATTAGTCCTCGCACTAGTCTTCACACTAAGTCCTCGTAACAGTTCTATTCCTCCGACTTAGTAATCATCCATCTCAGGCCTAGGGAGGAATTCCCTAGGCCGGAGCTCCGCTCCTCCGCTCCTCCGCTCCTCCGCTCCTCCGCTCCTCCGCTCCTCCGATCCTCCACTCATCCACTCATCCGATCCTCCATTCCTCCGAGTTTCCGGAAGTTCCTCCGGAACTTTCCCGCGGTCCTCCGGACCTATTCTGCTTCGGACTTTGTCCTTGCAGCCTTTCCTCTGTTTCCTTCTACTCAGGACGAGTCCTGAGTAGCCATTATACATATCCCCGTCAGGACGAAACTCCATCGTAATTTCCGGAAGTTCCTCCGGAACTTTCCCGCGCTCATCCGGAAGTTTCTCGCACTCGTCCGGAAAGTCCTTCCGAAGTTTCCCACGCTCCTCCGGAAGTCCTTCGGACTTCACTGGACTTTCTCCGGACTTCATTCTGAAGTTAAGGGCACATACTCGGGTAAGGGGCGCAGCGCACGAGCTGAAGCCAAGCCCCTTGGAATCAGTCCTACCCTTTGTGCATGGTCTTAACACCAACCAACATTAGGTATCTAAGTATACACGAGCGCCCGCCATCGCACCTTACTAGAACCTCTGCCTGTTTATCTTCCAACTCATTTAGGGTTGCTTCACTCCCACCACCTGCACACACGCACTGCATCTGCTCAGCGCGCGCCATTGCACTTTGTCAATGAACCGTGGGAATCAATGTTGAAGTTGATATCAACAATGTCAGTTTGCAATTGTTTGTATACTAAGTTACGTGTTTATGTGTATTTGTGTTTGGCATTATTTGTCTCAAATTCACAACATGTTGTAAGTTTGTCTCCCTTCACTATATTCCTATACCCTATTCCTATGCCCTCAGAACTTTGTTGCTCTCTCTAACGCCAAACCACTGCCTCAAAGCCTTCAACTTTGCTATGCCCATGGCCAAGACCAAGCAAACAGCCAAAAAGTTGCATGGTGGCTTAGCACCGCATGTCAATCTTTGTGGTGGCGCCAGTGCAGCACCAGGGACAGAGGAGATGGAAGTTTGCCCTGAGTTCTAGCACAATGAAGTAAGTTTTTCTTTATGATTTATTCAACTAACTATATATCTATCTAGTACTGCATCATTTGTCGAGACAGAAGCATTGAGGAGCACCAGCTCTTTCTGTGTGACAGATGCCCTCGCGTCATGTGCTCTATGTGCATGATCATCCCCTCTACACTGGCACCAATGCTCTCACACGATGCTGTCATGTTCAGGTGCATTTGCTGTCATGTTCAGATGCAACAAGGCGATCACATGTATTCTCCATACATGGTAAGTTTTTTTTTCATTTCTCAATCGCTATATCACAAATACACTGATTTATTGTAGGGCTTCTACCACAATGACAAGCCCATATTAACCGACTTCCTCTGCATCAATGCTACTCTGGAGGTATATCTCAAGTCCCAACTATCCTCTGTGTCGGTCTTATTCGTTCATCTCACGCTTGTCAACAATGATGCCAGAGTGGGCACATTTGAACTTGGATACCAATTCCTTCGTCCGTACTTCCTGCATGGGGGAATCACGTTTAAGGAAATTCAATTCGACATCAGCACTGACTCCAAGATCAACAAGTATGAATCCATGGTAGGTGAAATTGTGTGTTCCCTAACTGCTGAATGCCACTGGACGTGTATTGTGTTCAGAATTTCCAACCATATGGACAACAACAATGGAGACCCATTCATTGGATACACACTCACCGTCAGGCACCATATTTCGGCTACTGTCTGTTTCAATGCTGTCCACTTTCAGCCAGCCACAGCTTTGCATCTTCTGCTGGCATTCACCAAGCTTGTGCTTGTCAAGTGGTTGCCCATCCGCACAGTGTTTCCCGATATGCTGGGGCAATCCTACAAACTGGGATGGCACTCCGATGTATTTTTGATCCCCAGGAAGGATGCCACCTCCTTGGACATCACCAAGTTTTTGTGGATGCATAGTTCACTTTGCCCCTGGGGACAATTCCTTCCAGTCCAATGCCCCTAGTGTGGCTGGGCCGATGCTTGGACTTCTGTCCACCAGCACAAGGTCTACACATTTGAGTGCAGGAATGGCCTATGCAAGAAATGGTATGACTTTTTGCTGCCTCTGAACTCAAGGATTCTTCTGCCAGGAAAGGCACCTGGTACTTGCTGAATCTCAATCTCCTTGGAGGCAACCCTTCCTTTGTCAGATGACTGAGTTACCCAATGTTTTTTTTTGTACTTGCTTTGAATCAGACTTTTCTCAATATTTGTACCTAAGTTCTAAGTATAAGATGGCCTTGGTAAATGTTCGTCTGATAGTGACAAGTCTTTTGTCACAAATGCAATCATGTAACTTCTCAGATGTGTCTTAGGATCACATGACTCATTTGACGTGTCAAATGTGACCAATTGTTGATTGAAATTATTGCTGTTGGACTAGACAGATAGCTTCAAGTCTATTCTTGTACATTATAAGAAGGACTTTCTGTCTCTCAAAGATTCGAAAAAGAACCGATCACATATAATCAAGAAAATTCGAAAGGCTATACTTGCAGCCCACAAGGAACAAGGTGAAGAAGTAGCTTTGCCAGGTTCTTTGAAAAAGGTAATATATTCAGGGAGTTTGTTGTGTGACTGATTTACTATGCTACATACAGGTAATCAAACAGTACTATTCCAAACAAATCTCTGAAGACAAGGAATCTGATTTGGAGGGAGATGCGAAAGAAAGAGAGGCTGCTGCCCGTCCAAAAGAAGCTTCATTTTATAAGAAGAGGCTCACTGACTGAGATGTCGCCCAGAAACTATTCAAGCAGGAAATTGATGCCTTTGACAAGGCGGAGCAGGCAAAAAAGGAGTGAAAAATGCCATCAAATATTGCTCAGGTCATGCACACAAATGGTTCAACAACATGTCTTCTCAGCAAATCAAAGAAGTCAATGATGCAAAGGAGAAGTGGAACAAGGAAGGCACACCTGAGGAAAGCCAGGCTAAGTAAGTGCAGTTAAAATGTTTTCGTGTTGGGTCTAATATCAGTGAAGTTACCATAAGAATAACCTCAAAAAAACACTTGAGGATTTTTCTGAGCAACTTTGTTGTACTATGGGCTGTCATGTGGTCCTGCTTGTCAGTCACAAGAAACGAGCAGACCAAACATTGTCTGTCACCCTGTGAGTATTTGTGTTGTCTCCTAAATCAAAGTCTAACTAACTACTACCTTTTAGACACGAATCTCAATCCCAGAATGTCAAAAAGAACTTTTCTGTTAGCTCTAATGGTATCAAAGAGTGGGCCTTGACAGGCTTTGAGTTCTTTACAGAGTGGTCAAAGGTAGAGCTTTGTATATTTTTTCTTCCAAAGTGGATGTGGACATTACTCATTATAATTGACAGATCCGAACGGTGAAGATGACGAAGTCAAGGAGGAAGAGGATGACAATGGGCTACCTGAAGTTGTTCTGGATGATGAGGGCTATGCCAAACTACCTTCTCATGATGATATCAAACTCAAGGGCCAACAAGAACTGGTACAAACAATTTTTCTTGCTTCATATAGTAAGTTTCTATGTTATTTCTTGTCATACATTTAGTTGATCAGTTGGTTTGTAGAAGCTTTCACTCACAGCTGTAAGCTGGTACCTTGGAGCACTATAACTGCCAGTGAATCTGAGTATTTGGCCACTGGTAGTGTTCCAGAGAACTTTGTGGTATGCGACCCCTCTCACATGAGAATGAATGAGATCAATTCACTCTGGAGTCACTGGCAAAGGTGGAGCAATGTGAAGAAGAGACTGGTCACTTTCATAAAGGCAAGAAGGTCTGATATGAGAACTGACCTGAGGGAAGATACAGGGGATAAAAGGAGTTTAAAGAAGAAAAAACCATATGAGGAGGTTTGTGACATTGACGGTTTTAGCGGTGTGCTGACACAGCTCAAAGACAACGGCACAGGAGAAGAAAGTATTCAGTAGGATGACAGTTTCAAAGTCTGCTATTTCTTATTCCAGAAAATGTTGCTCTAATACTACTAACTATGCAGTATTTATACTAAGGCTCTCGGAGGGAAACAGATATGTAGACACAAAGGGGAGAACACAGATGGCTAGAAAGTCAGCCGAAGGCCTCCTGTAAAGTAATCGTAGCTATAGGAATAAATGATTGCCAAACCACTTGAACAAAGGCATGGAAAGTTAGAATCACGAGGATGGAAGTCAGTTAATAGTAACTCCGTTACATCTCCTCCTCCAGGGAGACCTCCATCTCCCTTGAACCGCTAAGCCTAACATCAGTCCGTCACAGCCATAGCTTCTTCTGCTGTTCCAATGGTTGAGGGCCCCACTGAGGGATATGTAGTGGGCAGGTCAGATTCCTTCCTGATCTTCCCCAGACCCTTTTTATTGACCTTCTGTGTCTGCTTACGTCCGAAGTTCTTTTCCTTCCTCTGTCCAGCACGACGCATCTCCATCTTCTCCCGCTGATGGGAAGCGCTCAGAGCCGTGTGCCAGACCATTTGTTCCACCTGTGCCATGCGGGTGGATGACAAGCTAATGTCCTCCTCCTCTACCTCTCCAATGATGTCTGAGAGTTTGGGCAAGGCCCCATTGCTGACGACAGTGCCTGACTCGTCCAGATAGGATGCAGATGAATGCAGTCCCTCGCTGTTGAACACATGCATGAAGAAGTCATAGCCCAGGGGGCCGGGTGGACACGCTCGAGGAGATTTGTTATGGAGGGTGTGGGAGTACGCGATAAATAGCTTCAGCTGGTCGCGAGAGACGAGGTGGGTGTCATCGCTGTTCTCAGGGCTGTTGATAAGAATGTTGCGCCCGTGCCCCACAAAATACATGAGGTTGCCGTCATCGGGAGTTACTGACATGGCAAACAAGGTGAGCTCTGCGTTGTCAGCCCACGAGTGAAATGAGGTGGGTGCGAGAATGGGGGGTGGTGATGAGGAGGGGAGCAAGCAGGAGGTGGTTGGGGGGTGATGTTGGGTCGACGCTGCTTTTAAGTCGACGATTCCCCCAAGTGAGATCTGACCCGAAATTGATCTAAGACTGTCGCTAGGGGGTGTCCCCTGCCCCTCTGGCAGGTGATTGATGTCAGTGACGCCCAACAAATCGAAATACCCAGCTAATGCATTCAGGTGCCTGAGGTTGTCAAACGGCAGCCAAGTGATGTTGCCGGCCCTCCATTCCACCTCAAACACGGCTTCCTCTCAGGCTCCCGCATAAGACAATATCTTGCTGACAGCCCACTCGGGCTCCTGCTCGTCGCCAAAGTCCAGTACTTGTGCATCCGAACATCCCGGGAATTTCCTGTCATCGTTGGGTATGTGGATGTGCAGTAGTGAGGAATGGAAGACCGGGTGGATGCCTCTGCTGCGCATCCGGCTAGGCAGCTCCAGTAAGAAAGAGTTGTTGCCATAGTCACGGAGTAACCTGTAGGGGCCGGCGTATTTAGGAATCAGCTTGCGTGCTAGTCCTTTGGGCAGAGTCAAGTTCTTTGTTGAAACGTAAGTCAGGTCTCCTTCCTTAAAGGGACACAGTCGACGTCGTCTGTTTGCCGCACGTGTCTGTTTCACACGTGCTTCCAACATGGAATCATGCGCACTCATCAGCGCCCATTTCATCTTCTGCAGGTAGGCTCTTATGCTGGGGTACTCGTCCTTCAACGGGTTGTTCCATACCATGACCCTCGGGGTTCGGCCGGTATTTGCTTCAAAAGGTGAGAGCAATGTTGTCTCTGAGCTTGCTAGGTTGATGGTGAATTTGATCGCAGGTAGTTTCGCTACCCAGTCCGCTTGCGAAGGCGACACTATGGACCTCAACATTTGAGTGACTGTTCTGTTCGCTCTCTCCGTTGCACCGTCTGACTCAGGATGATAGGCGCTGGACATGTTCTGTTTGATTCCCATGAGCTCGTTTAGGTGAGTCCAGAATGTGCTTGTGAATAGTACGTCCCGGTCGCTAACGACGGACTTAGGTAGTCCGTGGTGCTTGTAGACCCCGGCGAACACGAGTTCAGCTACTTCGCGCGCCGTGTAGTTGGTCTGGCTTGGTACTAAGTGTACCATGGAGGTGAGTCTGTCTATTATCACCGTTATGGTGTCATATTCACCGTCTCTGTTCTTTGATAAGGGCAGGGGCCCCACGAAGTCTATACCTACTGACTCCCAGGGTCCTTTCAGCACTCTGAGTGGGTGCAATAGCCCATACGGTTTCTGGTTAGATGGCTTGCTTCTTTTGCAAGTCACACATGACGTGCAGAAGATGTTTACATCCTCAGCCATGGACTTCCACCAAATGTGGTCCCTTAGGTACACCAGGGTTTTGGCTGCTCCCAAATGGGCCAGCAAAGAGTGGGCCTGGGATATCACAATTTCCCTAACAGTGTGTTCCTTTATCTTTACGTTCAGGATGCATAATAATATTTTGTCTTTTTGACGAAGACACACTATCCCATCCTTCACCTCAAAGTTCTGGTATTCCAATGGTGAGTCCATGATCCGGTTGAAGAACGGTGTAGAGACTTGCGCCTCTCAATGCCTGACATACAGCCCTATGAACCATATATTCCTTACATGTCCCAGCTCTTATCCGAAGGATCAGTCATACGCGCTCCCGCACATGCGTCCATGCGCCTCCCCTTAGGTCATTGTGTGCCTACCTGTCCATCTGTCCTATGTCCTATGTCCTCACTGATTTACTGGTGCGTTATTCTTATCTCTTTCACTGAATTGATGTACACTCGGTCCAATCCCCGTGCTTACATACAGAAAGTCTATCTCAGACTTTAGATTATATTTAGAGTTGATATGGTTACTCGGTTCGGTACCACGCTCGGAAGCGCTGCATAGCGCTATCTCCCTTCTTAAATAGAGGGAAGTTCTTTTTACTTCGGTTACTACTTTTCCCTCCATTTATCTCAGTATACTGCAAGTTGTATAGTGCACCTTAGTACTTGAAATCAGATTATACTTCTCCATCTGCTACAGCTCGCGCCTCTACTATACTTGAAACCACATCCCTTAGCACTCATAAGTGTGCTTCCACATACATGCGCGCCCCTCGCATCTCGCGTGCCCTCGCATCGCTCACGCACGCCTCACGCGCACCTTCATGCACGTTATCTTCTCGCGCCTACCAGTGCCCGTCTAGTTGACAGAGTTTCCCTCCACCTTATTCGCGAGGAACTTCTCTCAGTAGCTGTCCTTTGGGTCGAGTTGTATTCTCATATCCAGGTCTTGCTGTAGAGCCCCCTCCTTTTAGTGTTTTCACCCACAGTCAAGATTCCTCACCTTCAACGGGTCCTCTCAATACTGATCCTTTATGCTAGCTATCAGTTCATCCTCCTCTGGGTATTCACCAGTTGGTGTCGCGGACCCGGTGAGCCCAGTCTCGCTGACTTGCCTGTCCTGGCCGACGGTAGTCCATGTAGGGTTTTGGGCAGGCTGCTGTCCTGCCTCCTCCCCCTCCATTCATCCCTTAGGTCCCTTAAGGACGAAATGCCCAGCCACCCTCTTGGCAAACTTGGCTGCTGTCTCAGGACATCCTGTCTCTGCTGGAGCCACCAACACCTCGTTCCGCCGGGTTCTTGGCAGGGGTGTTGAGCCCCGCCCGTCAGTGGAGGACACAGCTGACCCAATTGATGTAAAATCGGCTGGGATGACGCCGTCCTGGTAAGGTCTAGAATCCCCAGCCAAATCGGCTGGGATGACTCCATCCTGTCCCTCAGGGAGTGGTGTTGTCATACTCGCCTTGGGTAAGTTCTTCCCGTTCTGTTTGGCCAGGGGGGCTTCTTTTAATGACTCTGGTTTAGCCAACCGGGCACTCCACCTGGTGGGCACCATTGCCTGTGCCTCAGCACCCACCAGCACAGGCATGGAGATAGCACCCAACAGGGTGGTTGATGGTGGGTTCCCCACCTCGTCGTACTCCGTGTACTCACTGGGTGACCGTACAGTGCCTGGCGGATCCCAGGAGTACATCCTGGACAACGCGTCCGGCAGAACATTCTCGACCCCCAGCACATACCGGATTTCGAAGTCGAAGTCACCCAACTTCTCAAACCATCAAGCCTGCTGGCCCGACAGGTCCCGTTGATCCTGTAAGTGCACGAGCCCCTTGTGATCAGTGAGCCATATGAACTGTGCCCCCTGCAGGATCACGGTGGCACATCATGCCCTCAAGTCCGGCCAGCATCTCCTGCTCATGAACAGGATAGTTTTGCTGAGCTGGACTCAGCTTCACACTGTAAAATGCCGCGATGTGCGCTGTTCACCAGTCCTGGCCCTGCACTATCACACAGGCCACCCCCTTCCCACTGGCATCCGACATGAGCCAGATGGGGTCCGACCCTTTGCTATATTCCAGCGGCACACGAGAGTGCCGTGTGCAGTTCGCGACGTAATGTTTGACGTCATTGAACACCCGCTGCTGAGTGTGGTCCCATCTGAAAGGTACTGTATCGCCTGTGATCTCGGACAATGTTCCCATTGGGACTCTGACGTTGTAGATATTGTCCGCGAGGAAGCTAACTGCCCCCAGGAAGCTTTGCAGGGTGTCCCGGTTGGTTGGCACCTTCCAAGCAATAATCTTGTCGACCTTCGCGGGATCCATGTGAATCCCATCGTCATCGCCGTCGCGACCCAATATTCTCAATTCCTTGCAGAGGATCTGGAGTTTGCCTTCACTCAGGTAAAGTTTTTCCCTCTCCAGGATGCGAAGTACAGTCCTAACATGTTCCATATGCTCTGACAGGGTGTCTGAATATATTATGATGTTGTCCAAATAGACGTCCATCCAACGTCCAATGAACTCCCCAAAGAGGTGGTTCATCAGTGCTTGGTAAGTTGCAGGCGCGTTGCAGTTGCCTTGCTGTAGCACTGTGCTCACCATATTCCCGTCCGGGGTCGTCACTGTAGATTGCTTGACGTGTTCAGGCACTATGCGAATTTGTTCATACGCGTCTTGCCCATCAATGATTGTTCGGTAGTGTTTCCTTGCTACCCTCCTCAAGATACCATCGATGTCTGGCAGCGGGGAGGTCAGTTTCCTTGTGTTCTTATTGCGCTCACGCAAATCCACGACAGTTCGCAGCTTATCCGTCCCTGGCTTCCTAATGAAAAGCATGGGGACTGTGTTGCCGGAGCTGGTCATGTGCCATCGCCCAGACGACAGGTAAGCCTGTCGTTTTTCACCCCACTGGGGTCTCAGAGGTTTGGGGCACCTCGAAGGTCGCCACTTATACACTTTTTCAGGATCGATAAGCGGTATGGAGTGGTTTATGGCCCTCAACGGGGGCAGACCCATTTGGCTGGCCTTGGCACACAGAGGTTTGGCCCATTCCAGCAGTTGCTGGTGGGCTTTACCCAGGTCTTCCTCCATGGCTCCTGCCGCTCGAGACTCCAACACCAAGACTTGCTCGCCCCGCACCGGCATGGCCTTGTCACTCCCGATGACCACGCGTGAGGGGTTCAACCCCACAGATACTTGATGCTGGAAGAGGAACGGGGTTCCCAAAATCAAATCATAATTTTGTAAGTTGATTATATCGAAGAATCGTTCTTCTTTGATGTGCTGATACGAAAACATTGCTTTAGCTCCAAAGTTCACCTTGGACCTGGAGCCTTGGACCGCTAACTGGATAGTGAGTGGTTTCTCTAACGTTATCCACTTTATCTTCAGCTGATCCGCCAATGTTGAGGACATAAAGTCAGCTAGAGAGCCAGTGTCAATCAGGGCCCTTGCGGGGCATCCGTTCACATGCATTACTACGATGATCGGCTTGGGAATCAATCATTTGAAGTCGCGTGTGATGGCTGAGTTACGCTGAATGGCTGGATACCTACCCGGCACCACTTGTTGGCCGTTCAGCTCAATGAGTCTGTACTGGTTTGTTGTCTCTTCAAATTGTACATTCGGTATTGCATATAGCTGATGCACGACATCCTCCAGCGCGCATTCAAGCAGGCTGAGGTTGCCTGATTCTAAGGTCCGGAGGTGGTAGTCCTCCCATTCCAGCTCCTTACTTAGCATTGCGGTGTTTAGTTCTTGGTAGCCTTTCAGCAGGCGTCTCACATACCAGTGAGTTAAGTTTAACTTTTCATTGCAAAAGAAGTACTCGCTTTCCTCTAGATAGAACCCAAGTTCTTGACCACAGATCTCGAATATCATTTCCCCTGTGCATTCTACCCACTGGCAGAGGAAGCAATCCTCGTGGGCTTCCCCCAGCCATCTGGTCTCCTCATTCAGGATGGATACGATTCGCTCGGTGAACACTTCTCCCATGGGCACCCGTCATTGCATGCAGCGCATCAATGACTTGGGCACCTCCAAGGGCCACGCCAACCGGGCCACGTACCAGTCTCTTATGAAGAATGCTGGGTTTTCCAACAAGAACAATGGGATCTCGATATCGTCTTCCAGGTGAGATCCATGATCCATAATTAGGTGCCAGGTCTCTGACACTCTATAGATCAAAAATCGTCCCCCCGAAAATGTTTCCTCCCCATTCAGGTCATCGCCTGGGTATGGGGCATTTTGTCTTAGAATCTGCTCGGTGCGTCGCGCCAGAGGATTGCCCATAGGCTCGCCAATGATTCCCCATGTCCGTGCTACTAACTTCTTAGGTTTCTGATACTCAAGTAACACACAGCTTAGGGGGATCTCCATAATCACCTTGGTGCTATCCTCCAGGTTCTGCCAGTCGCCCTGGACCATGTCTATGTGCATGGCATAGTTCGGCACTCCTGGAGGTTTGTCCCGCTTTGCGGAGAATACGTTGGTTCGCTTTGGACACTGCCTTGACATGTGGCCGGGCTCTTTGCAAACGAAGCAATGTCCTCCAGACATGAGTTGATCGTGCTCCTCCTTGCTGAGTTTGTTCTCACATGGTGTGTCTGATTTACAGTTGTCCCGATTTGAGCCCCTTCAGTGACAAATTCCGTATTATACGGGCCAGTGGACCATGGGCCCATGTTGTGTATATCCTCGATGATGATGGATGGGCCGGGTAACATATTATTTCCGATGGAGACGGGTGGGCCCATGTATGCCAATGATATATATATCCTTGATGTTGACAGATGGGCCGGGGGAATATGATCATTCATGGAGATGGGTGGGCCCATCTGGGTAATATGTAGAGTAGGATATTATAGACAGCTGGGCTGAAGAGAGAGGTAAGGCAAATATTGTTATATAGACGGGTGGGCCGACAGGGGTGTATTACATATACGGGTGGGCTGGGGTAGCGGAATATTACATAGACGGGTGGGCTGACGTGGGGCATATTACATATATGGGTGGGCCGACGTGGGTAGTATTACATATACAGGTGGGCTGACATAAGGGATATCAAATAGATGGGTAGGCCGAGGGTGTGACAAAATATTTATTACATAGACAGGTGGGCCGAGGTGGTGGAATATCACATATACGGGTGGGCCGACATAAGGGATATTAATTAGACGGGTGGGCCGAGGGTGTGATAAAATATTTATTATATAGACAGGTGGGCCGAGGTGGGGTATAATTATATAGACAGGTGGGCCGACATAGGATGTATTACATAGACGGGTGAGCCAACATGGGGGATATTACATAGATGGGTGGGCTGACATGGGGGAATTGTACATAGATGGGTACATATATGGGTGAGCCTAGATATGTTTCATCAAGACATACAGCTGATGTAGCCACCAGTGAATCAAACATGTAGGATACATGCACACTATGAGTGCATATACCTACCATCGACCACCGAAATCTAAACCCATAAGCACGAAAACATGAATCGACCATGTGTGGCATTGACCAATAATCAAGTACTGAAGTGGGAAAACCCCACACCTGAACCCTGGTGTGCAACATATCCTATTTCTACACACGGACACCAGAAGCACAACACTCGCAAAAATATAAATGTCAAATTTTCACAGTGCCGAACCCCGAACCCTGAGATTTTACCAACTCCCGAACCCCGAAATTGTGGACTGCCGGGTCTTGGGGGTCGGGGGTCGGCGCTCGGGACTTGGGAAATTTGGGGAGATCAATAAAATTTGATCTACAATAAATTTGATTTACAAACAATTTGATTTACAAACTTTTGAAAGATATCTGTTGTCTCACATATCGAGTCCCAAGTTCCAGGACCCCCGAACCCCGAAACCCGGGACCTGGCAGTCCACAATTTCGGGGTTCGGGGGTTGGTAAAATGTTTATGGATATATGAAAGGTTGATTCAAACATGTTTGAAAGATGTCTTTCATCTCAAAAATCGAGTCCCAAGTTCTGGGTTAGTGCCGAAGCTTGAAACTTGAAATCAGTGGAAAATGAAATCTCGCAACAATGTACACATAAAGATGTTTTATTTCCTTTGACAATTCACCGAGTGTCTTGTACTAACCTGACAACACAGTCCGGGCTTCAGGCTTCAGGGCTTGGTACACGACACTCGGGGAATTGTGAAATTTCTATTTCCTTGGACATTTCACTGAGTTACGAGTTCCGGGCGCCGAATTCCGAGTTCCGAGTGCCGAGTTCTGAGCTCCGAGCTCCGAGTGCCGAGTGCCGAAGCTCAAAACTTGAAATCAGTGGAAAACGAAATCTTGCAACAATGTACACATGAAAATGTTTTATTTCCTTTGACAATTTACTGAGTGTCTTGTACTAACTCAGGGAATTGTGAAATTTCTATTTCCTTAGACATTTCACTGAGTTCTGAGTTCCGAGCACCGAGTTCCGAGTTCCAAGTGCCGGATGCTGAGTGCTGAAGCTTGGAACTTGAAATCAGTGGAAAACAAAATCTCGCGACAATGTACACATGAAAATGTTTCATTTCCTTTGACAATTCACCAAGTGTCTTGTACTAACCTGACAACACAGTCCGGGCTTCAGGCTTTGGGTTTCGGGGCTCAGTACATGACACTCGGGGAATTGTTTATGGAAATGAAACATATTCATGTGTACATTGTTGCGAGATTTCATTTTCCACCGATTTCAAGTTTCAAGCTTCGGCACTCAGCCACTGGTCAGTAGTCAATATAGGCAAATGGTAATGAAAAATGAAAGTTGTTATTACGCTTAACTTCCTTACCGAAGGTTGTAGTCCGAGTCTAGGGGAGTGTATTGGTAGTCTTTTCTTGTCCATCAGTTATCATTTAACCGAGATATAAGCTAAAGAAATCTGAAACATCGGCAATAATGAAAAATGAAAGTTATTATTATGTTCAAGTTCCTGAACAAAAGTTGTAGTCCGAGCCAAGGTGAGTGTATTGGTAGTTTTTTCTTGTCAATTGGTTATCTCATTACTCGGTACTCGGTACAAGGGAATCAGTACTCGGTATTTGGTTCTGATACTCGATACCCGAGAATCAGTAGTCGGGTACTCGGTACTCGGTTCTGATACTTGGTACCCGAGAATCAGTAGTCAGGTACTCAGTACTTGGTTCTAATTCTTGGTACCTGTGAATCAATAGTTGGGTACTCCAGCCAATAGTCCCGAGTCCCAGTACTGATACTTGGTATTCAGTAGTCAGGTTTGGAACTTGGGTCTTGGTTTGGTTATCATTTGACTGAGATATTGGTAGGCAATATTGGCACTCGGAGCTTGAATACTGACTATCAACTATCAAGTGTCGGGACTTGGTAATTGGTAGTTGAGACTTGGTGCTTAAATGGATATTGCATATATACATAAAAATACAAAATATGTTCCTATGTGTTCATTTCTAGGTGAATAGACTTTGAAATTATATCTCAATCATCTATTCAACAATAGAAACAATGTATCAGGAGCTCAGGACCATAGGGTAATCCTTTATTGTATAGTGTACCTCCCCCTCTTCTGGTGGTTCACCTGCTGGGGTTTTTTCCCTGTAGGACTGGACCTCAAGGACTGTAGGGGGTCTATTCCTGAGCATATTCGGAGTAGATATATCATATAACCAGCCCAGGACACACAGGATCCTTTTCCAGGAACAAAGCATAGACAATTGCACTTGTGACATTTTTTCATGATTTTCAGTATCTTGCCCTTGCATCCATGATCCAACCTTTTAATATATAATGAGCATAGCTTATATTCTTGCTTCTTATGACCAAGATCAGCTCACAATAGGCTGGAGTTTGTGAGCTAGTGTGTATACTTGCCATTTTGCCTGATAAGGGGCCCATGCCTTCAAAACATTGAATCTTCATAATCAGAAACCTGGGGTACATTTCAAATATCTTAAGTATCATAGACATAAATTTACAGACAAATCAACCAAAAATTGAGTACTGAGAAAGTGAAATGGGTAAGAAATTGAGTGTGGGAAACTTCAAAGACCCAAAGCATCGAAAATGGTTAGTTGAGCAGTGGTAGGACTTTAATGCTGGGTCAACTCATATTTTCACTATATCCCTTCTACCCACCCCCTACCCTCAGGGCAGTAGGCAGTATGGGTTCCTTGGGTAGTTTATGATCTATCCTACATATTTGTAATGATATTTTTGGCCTGAATCATATATAAATGTGACTTTGTATAAAAGATGTCTATTGTCACTCTCCACACATATGTCATTTTGCCTATCATTACATCAATCCTTCATGAATCTTTCTAAGCTTTTAAGCTATTATAATGGATGTATATGGGTGTTATTCCAGGTCTCTGATCACATCACAGGCTTGTTATGTTGGATATCTCGACATAATGTTCAAGTCTCGCTATTAATATTCATTCTTTTTATCTTTAGACTCACTTACTGCACACATGTATTTCATTTGTCATTATTGATGTTTCGGATTTTTTTAGCTTATATCTCGGTCACATGGTAACCAATGGACGAAAAAAGACTACAAATAAACTCACCTAGACTCGGACTACAACCTTCATTAAGCTGACTACTGATTCCCAGGTACCAAGTATCAAAACCAAATACTGAGTACCAATTACCATGTACCGAGTACTGCGTAATGAGTAACAAAATAACCAATTGACAAGAAAAGACTATCACTACACTCACCTGGACTTGGACTACAACCTTCGGTAAGGAAGTTAAGCATAATAACAACTTTCATTTTTTCATTATTGCTGATGTTTTGCCGAATGACAAGGAAAGACTACCAAGACACTCACCTTGACGTGGACTACAACTGTCATTTTTCATTATCATTTGCCTATATTGACTACCAAGTCTCGAGTACCGACCACTGACCACCGATCACCGAGTACCGAGTACTGAGTGCTGACAAATACAATTCCCAAGTTATTTGAACCCTACACCAATGGATAATACATACAAATACAATTTGTGTCCATTTGAAGTACCGGGTTTCAGGTTTTGACACTCGACACTTGGTGATTTGTGCAATGAGTGAAAAATGGACATGTTGTGTACATGATTTTGGGTTTCGGGCTTCGGGTTTTGGCCCTTGGCACTCGGAACTCGATGATCTGTGTAATGTAAATGAACAATGAACATGTTGCACACCAGGTTTCGAGTTTTGGGTTTCGGCACTTGAAACTCAGTGATTTGTGCAACAAGTGAAAAATGGAAATGTTGCATACATATTTTCGGGTCTCGGGCTTCGGGTTTCGGCA